CAAAAAATCCTTAGACAAAACAATGCTAGTGAGCCGAAAAGTTAAAAAGTTTGAGTTTTTTTCAAAAGAGAATTGCGCATAATTTTGATGACAATGCATCAGCCGGCACTTCTTGAAGAGGAGCTTCGAAATGCTCGAAATTTTATGTATTTGAAATTTGGATTGCATTAACCATGTCAAATAATATAAACTATTTTCTCTATTTTTGATTTTCAGTTCTGAACGTTTTTTTTGCGAGTAAATATTGTAACATTTTTGTGCCAGTACTAAGCATCAAATACCCAAACTTTTTATGTTTATTTAAAAAGAGCCTGAATGTAAGAAAGCACGATAAATCTAATTTGAGGCAGTCTTGCTCATGGCTTTTTACCTAGCGTTGACAACCTAGGATCTAGATTTTAATTATAGCGAAAAGGAATTGGCTATTGATTCAGATAAAGGCAAAAATATTTCCCTGATTAGTAAGACCTTTTCAATTTTGATGATTTCAATATCCACAAAATATTTTTCAATGAAAATGAATTATCATCATCAGTGTTCTTTAAATTACAACTTTAAATAATGATATATTGCAAGGAAATTTATTTCATTTTGGAATTCCAAATCTTGGGATCCAAAAAGCTAATACATTTTATACAATAATTTAAAATCTCAATCTTGCGAACAGGTAGAGCATCATTTCTTCTAAAATTTCAGCTAGTGGATGTTAGGAGAAAATAGTCTTCCTTAAAGGCTGAATTCAACTACTTGACCTTTATAAAGCTTTTAAATTTATTTTCTGGTCTCTATGATGGTCAATGACCCTTGTATCTTCTTTGAAAATGCGTAATACAGAATCGATCCAAGCTAATAAGTTATTATGATAAAGCTAATTGTAAGCATATTTTTTACAGATATCGGGATATTTAGGAATATCAACAGAGAGTGTGGAATAAGCTGCTGTAAGAAATGGTGCCTTTTGAATGAAGCTAATGAATTATTACATTTCACTGTATAAAGACAAATTAACTATTTTCAGCACATTTTTCCTAAAAAAGCAGTCATGAATAACTCTAACAATGCAATATTTATTTCATTTATCTTTTTATGAGTCAAAATCTTTAATAAAGTTACAATAGCCCCTGATGAATTGAAAGCTGTGTCAGAATTACTTAATTTTACCCCATATATTTCAGACGAAAGAAGTTAATATATTGGCTTTGGAGACCGTTGGCCACGCGTCTAAAAAAATTCAAAAATTCCGAATTTTCAAAAATTCCGAATTTTGAACATTTTCGACTTGCAACTTATTGAAAGGATTTGTTAGAAATCTACAGGAGTATAAACGCTCTGTAGCCACAAAATAATAGTATTTTCTCAATTTACATCGTTCTTTAAACAAGGATTCAATATGATAAAAGAAAAAGAAAATAAAGAGAAAAGAAAATAAAAAATGTTTCAACATACTTTAGGCCGTCAGTCATTAACTTCATTTGAAATTCACAGCAATTATTCCACATCATTAAAGCCTTAAATTAAATAAAATAATTATCATATCAACAACGAACAAAATTGACTACTTGCTTATGAAATTTTTATTACATTTTTCAGTCATATCTTTGAATTTCTTTAAAATAATTGGCTTTGTTGCTTTTTCAGTGTTTATATGCTTATAATTTCAAAGTAATTCGAATAAAAGCAAATGTTATATAGAAGATAAAAGCTCAGGTAGAGTTTTTCGTGATTAAAAGACATTTATTTCAATAATTTCAAAAAAATATTCCATATAGGATTGATCGAAACTCAGAATTAAATTAAATTTGTGTATGTGAAATTCCTGCTATCTATCCTCATGATGCCATTTACCCTGCATCTTATGATAGTAAGGTACTTTTTAAAATGGCATTTCCAACCAACGGGTATACCTGTTAAATTAAAAGTCCCCTTTCCAATAAATTTCTCTCTTGGTTCAACGTTAAAGCGCACATAAACAATAAATAGGTAGTGCCAACAATATTTTAAAGACACATTTATCAAATAAATTGTAGTTAATCGAATTAGGGAGTGCCGTATGCAGTGGCGGATTCAAGGGGGGCAACTAGAGGCAGTTGCCCCTCCCTCAAAGAGTTGAAGCAAGTCTGGCGCTCCTTTTTTTGAAATTATGTGCCCCTTTTGAAGAACGAGAATCAAGTGAAAAAGTTTCTAAGACCGATAGGTTAATTTGCTTCAAGGATTACCTCAAAGTTATGTTGTTTATTCCGAAAATGGATCTGAAATTGTTGTATACAGCGAACTCTCGTCACCAATTTTTGCAAATTTTTTAGCGCCCCCACTACCAAATGCATTTATGCTTAAATTTATAAAATTATTTGCTTAAAAGCAACGTTTATCAAATATGTCAATTTAAAGAAAAAATTATAATGTATTTAATAAAAATCTTTTGGAACAGACTACAAAAAAATCAATGGTGTAGAACTTTTTAAATAGAAAATAAAATGTAAAGTGGATATAAAAGCAACATACCTTAGGCCCGCGATAACGGTCCTCGATAAAAGTCACAGAAACTTGTTCCCTTTTGTCAGCCCCTAGATATCAATCGAAGAAGTATTATCACAAGACAAAATAGTACAGTTGCTTATGAATTGTTTATTCTATTTTATCAGCGATAGAAGGTAAAACTCATTACTAACGTGCTTTAATCAAACTTTTCTTTCTCAGCGTCCTTCCACTATCGATGCCCGAGAAGCAAAGACCGATCAGCTAGAGGGTGATGATTTAAATTACCCATCCTTCCACGCTTTGCTGTCCTGGCACTAGTGTCTTGGGACACTGTCGCAAATTGTCTCGGGGTTTGAACACTTTATGGCCTGCAAGCGGTTAATAAAGCGAACACGCCTGGAAATCCTCTTGTGTATTAGTACAAAATAAACAACTTCAAAGCAAATATTGAGCCATTGCCCCTCTATCGACCTTCTTTCGAAATTTGTTGCGTTTTGTCGGGAAACCAGGTTATGTCACTCCAAGAGTTTCATTCACAAATGATCGGAGAACGAACTGTAAATTATTTTCCAATTGTGTTATTTTCCATCACTCACAACTTTTGTCAGAATGCTAAAATGTTCTACGTCTTACTTGAATAAACAGTGCCTTTTTAGAAATATCACTAAGATCATGCCCAAATCCACTCCACCTTTGTATCAGAATGCCAGTATCATCTGTTCCCTTTGAGTTTGACAGAAAAAGCAATGTCCAAGTTGTGCAAAAGCATTCTTTTAATAAAATACAAAACGCCAGGTACCTTTTGCAACACCGAATGGTTTAATGGCTTTAATGGCTAATTATAGCAATTTGGCTTTTCTACATGGGTAAAAATCAATGTATTTGATGTTTTTAAATGCCCTGGAATCTTCAACATCTGTGGCCTTCGCTTATCAACGGCTGATATTCATAATACGAGATAAGTCCTGTAATTGCACAGCATTGAAGATGTTAACAATGCTAATTTTAATCGTTTTTTAGTACACTTCCAAAGGAAATAGATATAAAGGATTGTGAGATATAATTTTTAAATGTTTTGAAATTTTGTAGGTAGCAGCCAAAGTTTCATGGCTAAGACCCTCCCCTCTTCTTGTTGATCAACTTTACAGTAACAATCAGAAAAAGCAACAAGAATGATGTCTTCTAAAAATTTAGATTGTATAACGCTTGTTTATATCAAAGTGATGGAGAGAAAACATGTAAGAGTAATCGGGTTATTCTGTTTTAAAAACCGAGCAGCATTGGGCCTATTTCTAGTACATCAACAAATCTGCTTATTTGGCATCTTTAAAATTGTTGCTGTTTCATGCATACGAACTGAAAACAAGAAGGCTCCGAGTTGCTATTTTGTAGGACAAAATGCATTTAGGAAGGGAAAAGTAGCGACAAATTTGTCTGAAATTTGTCGGACGTAAAAAAAATTCAGACACAGGCTTTATTCGAGTTATCTGTATGGAACTTAGATTAAGAAATTCAGGAACTGCACCGACGCAGCAAGGTCCAAATATTTTGAAAAATAAATCCAGAAAGTGATCATGCTACAGAGAACTTCAAACAGGAATTTACAAACGTTACTGACACATTACTTCGTCTTAAAAGCTTCGTAATGCTGACTGACTACGTAGATAATTATGCATGATTATCTTTCAAGATATCTAAGCCGATAAGGCCCTAACCTTACGTATGGGGAAAGGGGAGTAAATGCCAAGCTTATTACATAATTTTTGAAGGACCCTCTACTATCTAGTATGAATTTGGAACTTGAGCAAATTATTCTCCCTGTATGCTCTAATTGCTAGCTAGCTATTCTCTTGAAATTGCAAAATAAATTGGATAAAATCTTATCGAATTATTATCCCAACTATTTATGGAATATTATATTTTTCTATAATGTCCAGGTGATGGTTTTCTGCATGTTTTTTCAACCTCAGATTTTGCTACTATCTTTTATAATAATTTAATTTTCTTTAGGAAGCTTCAATTTTTAGAAAACTGAGGCCGGATTGTTCTTAAATTATTAGGGTGTAAGCAGTGAGATTGCTAGCTTTTTCGCTCTAGGGAGGTATTCGGGCCTCATTTGCCAACAAAGTGAGTGATCATTTGCCAACAAAGTGAGTGAGACAACCTTCATTTGCCGACAAGTTTTAATATTCACCGAAAAGCACCCTCAACATGGCCAAAAATCTTCGTTTTTGAGAACGTTATTCAAAATAGCATTTTACAATAGGTCAGCCTCTGCTTTTAATCTGTTCTCGACTTCGACCAATTTTTAGGCTCGTGTTCTTATAAAATTGTTCTTATAGAAAAAGGAGTGTTTGTGAAAACACGTCAACTGTTAGAATTACAGAACAGAACCTTCCACCCAAGAATTGAACAAAAACGAAGAATGATTTGCAAAAAATGTACACAACCATATCTATCATAACGTAAACAGTTTTGTTTGAGGAGCTATTTCGAAAAGTGTGAAGAAATAAACAACTAACTTAAATCGAACTGTTAATATCTTATCTTTTCATTATAAGAAGAAGAACAAAACCAGGTAATCAAAAAACCGGTAACTTTTCAAAATAAATGAAACTGAACTTTGCAAATAACTATAGACTAGAATATAAACCACATCATTCCTAATTCTAATAAATTTTACGATAACAACAGTAACATACAATATTTGTTAAAGATGTGATAAATACACGTTTTACGAAGAATAAAATCAATATTTACTAACGTGTTAGTTTTCTAACACTTGGGTGCATCGGCAATGTTAAGAATAAATATAAATAAGAACAAAAGTTAATAATTAGAATGAATAACGTAAGCCTAATTATTTAAAATTCGACAAAACGCAAGGATCTGTCGCATAAGCAAATATTTTACCAGAGAGTCAAAATTTAGTTGAGCATAAAACAAGGATAACATGGACACAATGCGGTACCGTCTTTACACATAAATTAAAAGACACTAGTTGATATAAAAACTATCAAACTATATTGCAGTTTTTCAGAACTTCCTGAAATCTTTTGACCAAGGGTTAACCTGAAGCAAGGTTTAATGATATGCAAACGTTACCCAAATCTACTGAAAGGAATATTTACGCACAATAGAAAGCACAGTGTCATGCTCACGAAGACGATACTGCCTAGGAATGATGAGTAGATCAATGTCATATGTGTGACGGCGTTTATTTTCTTGTTTCATCAACGTACGTTCATTCACTTGACGTTTCGCAAGCAGGCAAACAAAAATGCTTCCAGGAATAAACATATTAGCAAAAAATAAATAGCTGTGCGAATGAATGCGTGGAACTGCGTATGAATTTTAAAATCGAAACCGTAAATTGTGATTTCAAGAGATTGAAATAAAACTAGGCCCATGCAGAATTCTATTTTAAAGAAGTTTTTTTATACTTCTATCATCCCACTTATGGCAAATTTCGTCCAATTTGATCTTTAAAGATGATGAAAAATAGTTGGTTAGAGATAGGCACATTTCTATTGTTTTATTTTATATATTTCATTATTGTTTCCTTTGCAACATTGATATGATGCAAAAGAGACACTTCTGTCGTATAAAAAGGCACGGTAATTTATCTTTGCTAGCCTTGCCATTTCATGGAGGCTTGCACTGCCACTGTGTCTAAACGATAATCGTAAATTCTCTTGATAAGTAATTTTACGATAACTTTATAATAAAGACGCACCCACTCACAATATTTCACATTTCCTTAAAAATCTTTTGGCTAGATTACAACATTCGATCAGTATCTCTGCTCTCTGGTTCGTGGATGTCACCAAGGTCATCATCATCATCATAATCATCACTAGGTCCATGCAGTTCCATATTTCCATTTGCGAGTGGCATTTGTATATCAACTGCGTTATGGCGAATAGGGTCCCCGGTCACTGGGTCAATCCACGCGATATTATAATCTTCCTCGTCAGTGTGGCTCATATTAATCGTGACAAATCCTAAAGGATCACGGGATCTTTTTCGTCTGAACCAAACAACGAGTGTCACAGCCACAAATACGACAATGATGATTGACAATACTGTAACCAAGGCCACAATTATGTACCTTGAAGTAGAGGGTCTGCTGCCTAAAAAGGTTAAATTTTTTGTAAGCAAAATCCACAAAACACTTTTGTAATGGAATTCTATTCTGGTTGTTTTGTTTTCGAATAACCATGGGATACATTAACCTACGTCTCATGTTAAACAAGCATGAAGAAAAAAGAAGTCAACATAAATTTCAACATATACGAAGTTCCTTTATTACATAAGAGAAAAAAAGACAAAATAAAAATGGTTTGAGGTCAAGAAATAAAAATCTCAAAAGCTACGTCTTTTTGGGCGGGCCACAAGCAAATTTCAAATTTGAAATGCTTCTAATTCCTATCACCAAATCAAGTTTACCAGCTAAAGAAATGTGGAGCTTGCATGATTCTGACATCAAAATCACATGCTTATGGTGTTAATTATTCTCATGCTGACAAAATGCTTTCTCGAATTTCAGGAAAATTCTCTAAATAATATAACAGAATTTGCAAAAAGGAGCAACAATCATACTACCGAAATCTGGATGCTGAATCTTTGTGCAGTTCTTTGCTTTCAAAGCATCTCCCTCGTACCCTTTGGCGCAGTTCTCGCAATTTCTTCCTGTTGTGTTGAATGGACATTGTAAGCAGATACCGTGTCGAAGATCACACATTGGCCACGTTCCTGGGGACGAATTACCACTGCAGTTACACGCAACACACTGCTCTGTTCTATTTATGACTTTCAGATAGTACCCATCAATGCACGATTCACAATGCTTGCCTGCACGTTTATTTGAGCAAAAGAAGCAACGTCCTCCTATTGGGTGACATTTTTGAACAATACTTTCGTTACCGTAGCCGTTGCAAAAACAAGGCTGACAAAGTCCATCAGATTCACTCTTGTAATAGCCCTTGTCACAATCCGTACACAATTTACCATGGTAACCTTGTTTACATTTAAGACATTCGATCGAGTTCGTCTTGTTGTCATTCTTACACAATCCATTTGAGTGAGTGAGTGGACAGGGGCATCTCTTGCACCCATATTTGTCTATGGTGGCGTTCCCGTAGAAGCCATCAAGACATAGTTCACAATGAGACCCATGTGTATTGTCTTCGCAATTGTTGCAAATCCTTTTGAGCTGCGAGCAGTGACCACTATGTTTATGGCAAACTTCTTCATAACAATCTAGGATGAAAACAAGATTACCAATGATGGTTAGTTTATCAGAATATCAAGATATGAATATTACAGCACGGCATCTAGTAAGGGTTACTTTACCTCTTGCAAAAGAAGGCGTTTCTGATACACTCTGTGTTGCCTAGTGGCGATACCTCAGGACGACGAAGTTTCCAAATCACTTTGGAAAAAGTATCGGATATAAAGAAGTTCAAATTCGGCTGCAAAGACATCCCAATTATAATATCTGTTCTGTTGTCCCAATCGATTCTAAATACTCGTTCATGGAATTTCCTCGGAGTGACATGTCTGCGTATTATTTGTATTATATATTTCATAGATAATTAGACATTAAATTTTAGGCACAAAATGCAAGTTGGTTCTGCCTAAACATTACGTTTTAGAAAGTGTAAATATCCTTGAGCAGAATTTCCACGAGCAGCTTTCTACGACAACTTCCTTTGACATGTTTCCTTGATCGTATGGATGGATAACAAATTTTATTTGACAATTATTTCAATGACAAGTGTATTTGTTCTTGCGGATTGCCAGCAATGTTCTTTGACAATTGTTCGCGCTGCTGGTAATCAACGCCTAGTCATGCCATGCAAGGCCTGGTGTTAAGGGAAATGGTCAAGTTCATTTGCTAAGTCGTTTGCACGAGCAACTTTTATTCTAAAATTGTACTTGCTGGTAAACTGGCATGCCAGTTGGCAAAGTGATAAAGCCATAAAGATCTATTTTTAAAAATATGGAAAACGATTGAATATCACTAAATTTGAAATGTCAGTTGAATCCTTTAACAGTTTGGCTGAGAAATGAGTACAAGTTACTGTAGCTAACAAGTTTCCCTAACAAGTTACTGTAGCATTGCCTTAGTTCTAAATCTATGAACTAAGCAGAAATTACAACAACGCATTTGTAAATTCATTCATTCATTCATTCATTCATTCATTCATTCATTCATTCATTCATTCATTCATTCATTCATTCATTCATTCATTCATTCATTCATTCATTCATTCATTCGCTCAATCGCTCATTCGCTCAATCGCTCATTCGCTCATTCATTCATTCATTCATTCATTCATTCATTCATTCATTCATTCATTCATTCATTCATTCATTCATTCATTCATTCATTCATTCATCCATTCATTCAGTATATCGATTAAACATTCGATTAAAAGCGACGTAAATGAAATGAAATAGAACGAAAAGACAAATACTCACTAACTATACGATTGTGGCTTTGAAAAAAATAGCACGGTCGCACCGCAATCAGAAGAGCTGCAATGGTATACAATACAGGAAAACCAGCCATCAAGATCAATAAATCTCAAAAAGGTCACGGGAAATCATCCATTGCCAGTCGCTTCCAGCTAAAAGAGAAATATCACAAAATAAAATAGACATTAAATGTAGAGCCTTTGATTATAAACAACAGTTGCACACTTTCAAGTAAAATACAATTTTGCTGAGGAAATAAATTTCAAAATCTATAGCTCTCTTGTAAAAGTAACATGCTTACATAATATATACTCGTTTTAGCATTATCATGACGCAAGTGCTGGAGTTCAGCTCAGTCCAATAGACACGGATAATGATGACTGTTGACTAGCTCTCTTGTAGTGGCTTTGAAGCTGGGTTACAGTGCATAAGGAATCCAGAGGTTTTGTTTTAAATATTTTTCACCAACACTTTCATCTCAAGGATAATATTATTGCATTCAACTATAAATGGTTGAATATTTGGTGAAAGACTTAAATTTAACGCAGGCCATGAAATAAAATTCTTTAAAATATTTTCACTTTATTTAAGAGAAACCTATATATATAAAAATATTGTTGTAAAAGTAAACAAAAATCAGAAGTTCAGAAAAGCTGTAAAATTTATTCTAAAAAACAAACATTCCAATTTCTGACATACCACAACCATACTTTCCATTTATCCCAAGGGCCACGGTAGCAGAGGCAAAAGCCAATACTTGATCAATTGCTTGGGAGAAATTCTGCAATAAATAATAAGTTTCATTAGAAAGGTAACACTAACGTGTATGCAACAGACTTTATGTATGGTAAATTGTTTGTATTGTTTATGATAAAGTATGGTAAATTGTTTGTATTGTTTGTTACCTAGCTTCTGAAGGTAGTTTTAGGACACTGAAAAGCTATGATTTCGAGTAATAAAAGTTCTCAATTTTTTCTGAATTTCCAGCATTCGTTTCTTATAGCATTAAAATTAACATACATTAAATTTGAGGTTTGCCATGGCGTTTCTTATCAGGGTGTTTCTTTTTGGCACTAAACGGCATGGCAAGAAGTTAAGTTCTATCCTAAAAGAGGATTAAATTGATGAGTAACCACAAATACTAAATATCACATAGCCCAGGGACCGCGGTAGCGGGGTGGGGAGGGGGGGGGCGAGGGGACTGAGGGGCTTTAGCCCTCCATAATGATCAAAATGTACTTAAAACCGTGAAAAAGTCGTTTTGCTCTTTATGTTTAGCATGTTTAGCCCCCTAAAACGTTTCAGCCCCCTCAATCAGTAATATGCTCCGCGGTCTTTGAACTAGCCTGAGTGCTGCACACAGATTTCAGCTTTCTGAAGATTTACATATCACTGATTTGTAGCCATTGCATACCACTCTTTTATGGCAGTTTACGCGAGAGCAGAGCCGCTGTGATTGAAAAACAAGCCACCCCATCCAATCTGCGAATTTTCTTATCTTACACCCCCTCCATTGAAATTCTGTAGCGCTTCTTACATTAAGTACCAAAAACTTCGATGGGATTTATTTTCGGTGAATCAGGGCAACCGAGAATCAACCCCACCGGATTTTTTTGAGACCGCAATCTTTTCTTACCGAAATTTCAAACGCTAGCAAAACCTCGTTTTACAGCGATGGATTTTCAAAATAACAAAAACAATTTTTCCTTGATATTGCTCTAGCATTACTACACATCCAGTACATATCAATTTTCATTTTCTGGATCTCCTTCATCATCAACAAAAAAAAATCCAGCTCATCTTCACTTTCTTCTCTTTCGCCCCCTACATTCAAGAAATTTGAGTTCTCTATGGGCTGAACTTATGCTTTCATTGGCACTTCATAATTTATCTCGATTATTTCTTACTAACGTTTCAGTGCTTTCAGTTCGGACACCCCAATGTTCAACTCACAATCGATCAGAATTTCTAATCCCCTCGTTGCGATTGGAGATCGAAAATATAGCCAACGGTAAGAGCTCCATTGGTTAGAAAAATGAAATAAAAGAGACGTCCTCTAGATAAGAGTTTAGGGCATCAAAACATTCGATTCTTGTCACTTTCATGGTTGCGCTCTAGATAATTCTATGTCGAAGATGAAAGAACTTGCAGAAAGTATTTCATTTCTTTACACACTGAAATATTTTTTCCACCGAAATTTTTCAAGTTTTTATCGAAGTTCACACCGAAATTTAAAAAATATGACCGAAACTTTTTCCACCGAAAATTAATCCATAGAGATTTTTGGCACCGAATTTGTTGGTACTTAAAGTATGTTAAAAGAAGACTTGCATAGAGTGGGACCAGACACCGCGGAGCTGGGGGAGGGATGGGGGGCTCTAGCTTTACACCCCCTACTTTTTGCCAAAAATGCAAAAAATTAACCAATGAATCACTAGTGACCCTTTTAATCAGGAGTGGCGGCATGGGGGGGCAAGGGGGGGCTTTAGCCCCCCCTAGATTTTTGTTAGCCCCCCCGTCGGCAGCCAATCAATTTTGGCTTTCTCAATACCGTCGGCACTTGATGGATGTCACCCGGTTTACATCTTGTTTGAATGACAAAAATAATCGAGGAGAAAACTGCACTGGCTGGTTTATGGTTTTCTCAATGGCTTTTCTTCGGCAATTTTACTATCATAGTGGCATTATATCCTGTCGCTTCCGTGAAAGCCTTTTTTCGTTTCAAGACATTATTATTGCCAATGAAGACATTTCGATCATGAGCACATTTTGCGTAATAAATTTTTGAAAAAGCACTTCTTGTCCTTTTTCATCAACTATTTTTCAATAGCATTGTTCACCGCATAGCTTCCGACAAACAAATGTTTTAGAGAAAACCATCGATTAACTTCTTCCAACATGGATAGGAAGAAATATTCAACAATAGGCAATATTTGCGCATTAAGTTTCTTACAAGGCACAATTTGCCGAGAAAATCTCGTGGACTCCGACACAGGTTGGAAAATGGGGGCGGGGAGGGGGCAAGGGAGAATTTTGTACCCACAACAAACGATTTTGGAAAAATGCTCTATTGCTTGCTCTTGGAAAAATGCTCTAGATCGGTGCCCTTTCATTGGAGGTGCTGCTCAGGGGGCGTCGAGACTGGGGGGTTGTCACACCCACCCCAATAGTATCTCAATAGGAAATTTCAGGTAAAATCCGCTCGGTGGAAGAAACGCTTTAGGTATTTCAGAGACCTTCCTGTCATAAAATCAATGAAGGATCAAGCAATCTTAGGTAAAATTGTGCCTCGTGTCCATTTCTCCTAAAGTTTCTCAGTAGAAGCGTCAACTGCAATTCACTATGAGCTCCAGATTTTTTTTAACATTCATAAGGCATGCTAAGATGGAGAGAGGGATCTAAATTTAAAAGTAACTGACAACCTGGTATTTTTCAAGACCACGGCGAAATTGTTGTTTTTATCTGCTGTAAAAATATTTTGCAAAAAGACAATAATTTTCAATAGGATTAGGAGGATTGCTTTAGTGAAATCTGCTTAAAAGAGTGAATTTTCCAGGGAACTAGAAGCATCACAATTCGAAAATTTCCTCCCCCTTCGGCGGCAACCATGGTGCCGCCTCAGGTAGTAACTATATATTTTGCCCGTCCCGATATAGAGATTTGACAAGACTATTAGGAAAGTCGGTTATTATCATACAGAGTTAGATTGATAAAATGTATTGCAGAGGTTTGTGACACCAGCTAAAAAGTTTCAGGCAATAATTTTTTAATCAGGTAAATTTGCATTCCACCCCCCCCCCAACGAGGCTTGCCTCGCGACGGCCCTGCCTGCTATATGGGGCAAATCGAATTTTTTTTTCTGTCGGCAATTTGACACATCCAGCGTCGGCAGTTACGGAGAATATAAACTTCGGCACCTTGAAGGTTTGTCTCTAGCGCCACTCCTGCTTTTAATGGGGTTGTAAGAATGGGGCTTTAACTTTTTAACCCTTCCATATTTTACTTTGACGCCATCGTGAATCCGGCCCCGCAGATCAGGTATTGTCTGTGAATTAAAAAGTGCAAATACAGTGAAAGGTTGAACAAAAAACAACAACAATACGAGCACCCGACAGTGCTATGTAAGAATAAAGAAACAACACCGCGGAGACATGCAATAGGATTATGCATTTATCAGGACGACTCGGAATGCAATATGAAAACGGAATTGTTTGAAAAGGGAAACACTGAGAAAGAAGTAATAGGAAATCCTTTCAAATGAGTTACATTGCCACCGGAAAACACAAAGACGTTGGACACCTGGTCATGTTACGATATAACAAAGGGTGGTTGGGATAGTGCCAAATTTGTACAAGTTAGAGGGCGATGACTGGCTAGACGGAAAAACGCACTGGTACTGAGAACATGCGCGGATACTGGAAAACGCTGTAATATTGGGAAAATGAACTGATACTGGAAAACACAATAATACAGGAAAAAATACACTGCTACTGAGAACTTGCGCGGATACTGGAAAACGCTGTAATATTGGGAAAATGTACTGATACTGATGGAAAACAGGACAGGAAATATAAGACAGAAAAATGCACTGATACTGAGGAGATGCGTTGATACTGAAAAAACGCTCTAATATTGGAAAAACACACTGATACTGGGAAACACTATAAAGACAGAAAAAAATGCACTGATACTGGGGAGATGTGCTTATACTGAAAAAACGCACTAATATGGGAAAGAAGCAAAAATACAGAAAAACACACTGATACTGGACAGCACAGTTATAGTGACAAATGCATTGATATAATTCAAAAAAATGCACTAATATGGGAAAGATGCAAAAATACTGAAAAACACACTGATACTGGACAGCACAGTTATAGTGACAAATGCATTGATATTTGAGAAAATGCACTAATATGGGAAAGATGCAAAAATACTGAAAAACACAGTGATACTGGACAGCACAGTTATACTGACAAATGCATTGATATTGGAAAAAATGCACTAATATGGGAAAGATGCAAAAATACTGAAAAACACACTGATACTGGACAGCACAGTTATACTGACAAATGCATTGATATTGGAAAAAATGCACTAATATGGGAAAGATGCAAAAATACTGAAAAACACACTGATACTGGACAGCACAGTTATACTGACAAATGCATTGATATTGGAAAAAATGCACTAATATGGGAAAGATGCAAAAATACTGAAAAACACACTGATACTGGACAGCACAGTTATACTGACAAATGCATTGATATTGGAAAAAATGCACTAATATGGGAAAGATGCAAAAATACTGAAAAACACACTGATACTGGACAGCACAGTTATACTGACAAATGCATTGATATTGGAAAAAATGCACTAATATGGGAAAGATGCAAAAATACTGAAAAACACACTGATACTGGACAGCACAGTTATACTGACAAATGCATTGATATTGGAAAAAATGCACTAATATGGGAAAGATGCAAAAATACTGAAAAACACACTGATACTGGACAGCACAGTTATACTGACAAATGCATTGATATTGGAAAAAATGCACTAATATGGGAAAGATGCAAAAATACTGAAAAACACACTGATACTGGACAGCACAGTTATACTGACAAATGCATTGATATTGGAAAAAATGCACTAATATGGGAAAGATGCAAAAATACTGAAAAACACACTGATACTGGACAGCACAGTTATACTGACAAATGCATTGATATTGGAAAAAATGCACTAATATGGGAAAGATGCAAAAATACTGAAAAACACACTGATACTGGACAGCACAGTTATAGTGACAAATGCATTGATATAATTCAAAAAAATGCACTAATATGGGAAAGATGCAAAAATACTGAAAAACACACTGATACTGGACAGCACAGTTATACTGACAAATGCACTGATATTGATGTTAAACTTTATCTGTTAAAAAAGCACCTCACAAAAAATGCTTTTAGTGATTGTACCATAACGCTCATTTCAGATTTGTCTAAAGATACAAGGTGATAGTACAGACCGAAAATATTTCATTATCATTATATATAAGTTATCTATTACAATTTTTTTTAAAAACTGTTGAAGATTCAAGGGCTACTAAAAGGCTGATATTGGGCCTAGTTTGACCTATGGGCCTTGGGTTGTTTATCCATGGATCAAAGGACTGTAATGCCAAAAAAATAGAAATTTCTAAATTGTGTTTCTAAAACTAGTTTTTCTAGTTTTTTTATAGTCATCTTTTACCAATTTTGGGCTTTTTAATCGAAATATTGCCTGAAAATTGGAGGTAACATTGATAAATCCTTAGGTACAAAGAGGCCAGGAAATGCAATTCAGCTGGTTATCTTATAGCACAGAGGTTGACATGCAAATAGCATTATGGCTCTCACATTGCAGCTATAGAACATATTGCTCTACTATTATCCACAAAAAATTGAATAAACACAATATCTCAAATATTTCACACAAAAAAGCTTCTTACAAAATAAACTTTGTTAAAAGTGCCTGTCCTGCTTATAAAGAAAAGAAAACCCTAGAAAAGTAAGTTACATTTACATCTAGAAACAAAATCAAAGTTCGAATTTAGTTCTAAAAATGATTTCAATAATCCATTTTCTAAACTGTTCCTTTTTCAAAATAAATCAAGTTTTCTTCTCTAAAATGTAATTTCCTGAGTGGACTCTAAAATGATGGACATATATGTGGGGTGGTGTAATGTTACCAGGGGGATGGGGTTTTTGACAATTCATAGGTCTTTTGGCAGATTGTTGAAGATCTCCACACTCAAACCACCCCCATATGCAGAGTTATATGTAGAAAAGACATTTTTCTTATTAAAATCTTCAGAATTAATGAAAAGAAAAATAAAAACAGTTACGTCTGTTGAATAAATATACCTGATCTGACAACTCTGAACCAGAAGAAAAGGCTGTTGTGGTAAAGAATGAATGAATGAATGAATGAATGAATGAATGAATGAATGAATGAATGAATGAATGAATGAATGAATTAATAAATGAATGAATGAATGAATGAATGGATGAATGAATGAATGAATGAATGAATGAATGAATGATTAAATGAATGATTGAATGTTGAATGAGTTAATGAATTTTTAATGCCACAAACAGGGTTTTTATTCCGATAGACTGCCATTTTAAACCAGCAGCACCCTTGTGTAAAACTCCAACGAGCGCCATTAACATCAAATGAGTTTATGTTTACATTTTATGTCTATAAACTGTAGAGAAGGGGGGGGGGGCTGGCCCAAAAATATAAAAAGTTAAGAAATGAGCCACCAGTCAAACCTCTTATTATTGGGATTTAGCCCGCCCCCTACTCTTTTTAGACCCCACACTTGTCTCAATGCTCTACGGTACCTTGTTAAGAGGCCCTTAACATGAGAAATTTCAGGCCGGTTTGAAACTCATGCTAGCCTGAGTTCAGTTTGGGTGTGCTAGTTTCCTTTGCATTCAAACAGATATTTCAAATCAGTGGAATAAATGTATGAATACTTTGTTCTGACACATTCAAGAATCAGGCACTGTAACAGGAAGTTTCTCAAGTAATTTAGGGTAAAAACAAGGTACATGCAACTCAGGAATAGGTTTATAAAGAAGGAACAAAATTTATGAACACTGGACGAACACTGAAAAATGATGGGCATATATGTGGGATGGTGTAATGTTACCAGGGGGATGGTGCAATGGACTTTAGAATGTTGACGGGAGACTTAGTGAACCTAGACCAAATCTTGAGACCGTACAGTTTTGATTTTGCAAATATTGTATTCACATGAATATTTCATGTGGCCTTGAAAGTTCAAAACAGTTTGAAAAACCATATGGAATCTCAGAGGGGCACAAGTTTCAATTTGTCCTACTCATGTGAACACTCAAAAGGATTTGACCAAACATTGAAATTGGACTAAGGATCTGTGTGAGTTTCAAACTGGCCTGAAATTTCTCATGTGAAGGGCCTCTAAGACTATATCCCTGCTTTACTAGCAAAAGTATTCCATATTAACAGCTAAAGAAAATAATGCTTGTAGAAATCTGGCTTGATCAAGACAACCTAATCTTGCAATCATTCTTACATATAATCTAAGACAATAGATTGGTTGATTGGTTTAGTAGCTCCAGAGATTTTCCAGCAACAGCACTCAAAACAGTTGCACCCAGGAAAACTGGTCATTTATTGCTGAAATCAGGTTTCAATATAATGAATAACTTTTATTCCTTGAAGTTCAACAGATGTAAGTAACCAATTTGATAAACGAGAACTCAAACTTATGATTGAGACCCAAAGAAAAAATGAAGACCAGCTCTTTGATAAATCCTTTTTCAAACAATAATTAAATCCTAACTTCTGTACTCCAAAACATAGTATGTTACATAATAACCAAAAATGTGAATAAAAACATGATTTAAAAAATAAAACAACTTACAGTTTTAACTAACACAACTAAATCTCCTGTTAAAACACCCTCTGGGGCCTGGTAGTGTTTCCATTAAATCATATATCTTTCATGCTAGACGGATTTTCATTAGACTGGCTTGTTAGGTCATCACAAAACATCTCAGGATCTACCCCAGTTAATTCCTTCAATAAAACTACACTGATAGGTTTAAGATTTTGAAAGACTGTCCTGTCTTGTTGCTGGAATAACAAGCTCAGGAAGACCGCCATATTCAACCGAGCACCCATAAACCAGTAATGGTCAAAAGAACTATATAACGTATTTAGCTTGTATTTTGTATAGAGAGAACTTTTACTGTATGTCATCTAAAACTTTGATCTAGTGCAAACTTTTCTTTCATTAAAACAGAACCTAGTCCTATCACAAGTGAAGATCATTTCATGCATACAGTTAGAGATTCAGTCGAGGTAAATTAAAATTCAGTTAATATTAATAGATAATCAACGATTACGTAGGAGATAAACAGAGGTTAAAAGGTGTACTGGAAGCACACTACTTGCAGCGGTCGAAACCTAAATGAAAGGAATAGTGAAATTTTTATATTGGGGTTTGTGAAATTCCATTAACTGATTCGATATTTCTGTAGAAATAAATTGCCTAGAGACAATTCGTTTGAATGACTCATTCTTGAAGCTACGTCTAGTGGCAAGGTCTGGCCTTGCTAGAAACGAACGATTAAAAACCCCTAGTGAAAATGATACTCAAGCCCAAATTTGATGAAAACAAGAAACTGCTACCTTTTGGTCATGAAATTCGATGGCAACTTACTTCTTTCTACTTCTTTATGTCTTCTATGCGCTCCACTTTCGCCACGCACTATGGTGTCTGTTTGGTTCGTGATCGGTCTAACATGCAGCGCAGCGTCCCCCACAGACTACAGAATGGTTCTCAATCGAACTGCTGCCGAGATACTTCTCAAAATAAGCCTACTTTGTTAACGCTTCTTGTGAGCAAACTGACATAAAATTAACTATATGGTGTGTACACCAGTAATTCTAAAAGTATTACTATACAAATTTAAATCTTTCACATGATACCCAGCCGTAGTTGTAAATGAAACTCGCGGTGGCGCATCACAACGAGTTCTCATCAGGTGGTTGTGGTTTATAGTCACAAGGTCACATGATTCTTAAGCTGGGAGTTCTTATTCGATAGCAAACTTTCCGCCTGGTGACAATCCACCTATTTGTCGAAGTTATTTTGACGGCATTCTACTACTGATCCCTCAGTCCTCTTTACGCTGTTTCCGAAGTATTCGTGGAATTTCTCGTGGTTACGAACTCACCCAGGCAGGCAGACGCAACACAAGTCTCCTTCGAGGGAATTGTTGTCTCCGTCAGTGCCGTCGGAACGAAATTCATAATGGGAGGGGAGGGGGGGGCGGCTGCCCAGTGTATTCTTTCTCATTGAGTACACTGTTATAAAGGAAATATACTGCAGTTTGACAATCATTGGGGGGCTCCAGCCCCCCAGCCCCCCAGCCCCCTCCGATTCCGACGGGCCTGTCTGTACAATGCACATGTACGAAAATTAATAAATAATCCATTATTTATATATAAACGAATTGTAATCTTTATTTTCACGTGAACTTAAGAGGTACGCACATCTCAGTTATATTATTCCGCTTAGCTTTTCGCTTTATGCTCTAAAAACGAAGCATACATGTTTTCAGGCCCGTCACTATAGGGGGCGCGTGGAGAGTGACACCCCCTTGAAAAATGATTCCATTGAAAAAACGAGGGGTTTTTTACCATCTTTGGGTAATTTGTCGGCAAATTTCCAAACCTGTCGGCAAATACAGGATGGCCCACCCACTTTGTCATGGGCTATAGGAAGCAATGAATGTTCAATTAGAGCACAGGTTCAGAAAGTCTTAATACGAAAAACATTGTTAAGTCTTAACTGCCTCTAGTGAATCGGGGCGAAATATCAGTCTCTTTTAAATTCAAGTTATCCTTAAATTTATTCAATTTATTCTATTTCGCTACATTGGAGTCTCATCATCGTGTTGATTTGTTACGGCGGACAGTGTTTCTAGCATGTTCATCGTTTCTTTCTTCTTACACACAAGAAAGTCTTGTACAAAATGAGGGGATCTATTCAGGGGTGTAATGCTAGAGGGGTTCAGGTGGTGAGCCCCCTTCTTAATGCCAGTTTTTTCTTTCACTGTTGTTTTCAGCAACATTCTGTGCAAGGGCTTCCTTCCTATTTTGATAGCACTACAATAGTGGATGCAAACAGAATTTTGTTACACCGAGGGAAGTATATCCAATGCAGCTTAGAATGCTTTTGGAAAACAGAGTTTAACTTCTCTTTCATCCATAACGCTGTCAAAATTTCTTGGAACATTCTATCAGTCGATTTTTGAGCAATTCTCAATTTACGCCTAAGGATTCTCGCCTGTAGCTGGCCCACCTTTTGCAAAAAATGCAAATATTAAGAGGTGAATCAACAGTAAAGCCTCTTTTTATTCGATTTTAGCCCCCCGAACGTTTTTAGACCCTTACTTTCCTCAATGCTCCGCGGTACCTGAATGGTCACACTAAAGTTCTTAACTGAACTATTCCTATTTAAGAAAAATGGTTGCTGTTAATATAATTTCTCAAGAAAAGAGAAACTCCCAAATCATCTCCAACCAAACAACAATGTTTCGGGTTCAGTTCCAAAACGCCAATTAAAGGCATGGCCAAACTGTGTAAGTATCCTTGCATGCTTATAATGAGATGCAAACCGGAGAGAGGCCAAAAATGTTTTCTTTAACAGTGTGGTCATAAGATAATTAATTTTATATACTGCATTTATGCGTTTCTATTTCAACATTCGGCATTTGAAAAATTCAATTCCAAGTATTTCTAGTGTCATACTTTAAAAGATCAGCTGCTACAGAAATGCTGATACTTTATAATTGCTGCAAAAAAGAAACAATTTTACTACAGGGTGAGAAGAGCAATTTCTTTTTTTGACAGGTATAAATAAACTGATAATTTGATAAGGTTCAGTGCAAAGTAATCGGTATTTTTAAAAAATTGGACATGTCCAGATTATCGTTTTTAAACGAAAAGAAATATATTGTTGGTCAATGTGAAATATGAAGAGACTGAAGTATGGCCTTGGTATCTGTCTTCCGTACCAAAACTAATAAAGCATTTTAGAAGTAAAAACGTATAAGGGAAGTTAAAAGCATAGTTTCAAAAATAGTTTTTGTACTTTTTCTAAGAGAACTTTTATATGGGGAATTCCTGTTGAGAATTTATCATGGAAACGCTAGAAGGGCTTGCACCGTCAACCGAGTTGAAACTCAGTCCGTGTTGAACACAACCCAGGTTGAAATTTCTCAAATGAACGGTCTCTTATACTTAATGCGAGCAATGTGCTGCAAAAGATGAACTTGAGGCGCCTTTGCATCAATATAATCACTCAAAGATGTTCTTTCTTCGATTAGGGTGTCAACCAAATCCCGTGCCATTGTACACGGATGTATGAATGAAAGCGAAGAAAACTGATAAATCGAATTAAGAGACAATGTAAGCCAAACATTTAAAAAAATACAATATATTTGCAGTTGCTTTGATTCGATATCTAAACTAACGAAACAAGAAAAAAATCTCAAAAGAATATGGAAAGAATCTCTTTGCGATGAAGCTACCTTTCTAAAGTTAACTATCGATGATTCAATAATCAACGATGCGAAAGATAGAACAGCCTTGGACCGTCAAAAGGTGTTAGAAACATATTCTGGTTCTCAAAACCTTGGCAACAGCCAAAATATCAGTAAACGAAAATAATTTTTGCAGTTATAAGACTACAAAATAGATATTCTCAAATGCATCAACATTTCACGGGATGTTAGTTTTTATTATAATTTTATGAATAAAAACAAGCGATTTAAAATTTGATTTTTTACCCGTTTGTGGCACACTCCATTTCAACAAATACTCTATTCATTGTCATAAAACTGTTTCCACGAAACATTCTTGCACCGCGATAGCTCTAGTCGACTCGACTAAAACTCCTTCGGAAAAGAAGAGCAATTATCGAAAACGTAGGGAATGCCTGATCAAAATCATGGTTTTTCTTCCGATGCGTCATAAAGTGCCGCAGCTTCCTCTGCACACAACGAAAATAGCTCTAATTCAGCGGAACATCGTTGCGGCTCACTTGAGTTTTGCCGAAGGCAGTCGTCATAAGTTCGAAACTCTTTAGAACATCTTTTATTAACCGTTTTAATGACAGGGCTAAAAAAGAAAAGATAGAAATATCAATCAATCTCTTGCTCGCCACATCTTTCTAAGAAATGAAATGAAGAGTAAAGCCAAGGAGATCTAGTACTATCAAATATTCTCAATGTCCACTAAAGGCCATATTTTCTACAACAAAATGCTTTACTGGGACATAAAAAAGTCGAGAAAGTTCCCACTCTGCATGAATGGCAGGAGAGGACTTTGTTCTTTAGCACAAGGTCTTGTTCATCTGACCCAAACAGATTTCAGATAGATATAAAATAAAGGGTTGATTTGAAGAAAACCCTCTGATGCTTATTCGAATCTGGGTTCCAGCTGGTCAGTAAGTTAGCCACAACAACTGCCCACCGACCAACAAGCAGTGATGCAACCAATGAGCCACTCCAGCAAGTCAACCACTTCAGTCAGATCAACCAACCATTTATATCTATAGGAACGACTTTTGGTGTTGATTGGTTCCTATATGATTCCTTTGACTTTCCATCATTGATGTTTGTTCCAGTCTTATTTAACGTGCAGAGAACACGGAGACAATGAGAGAGACGTGTGTTGCTGTATAACTCTGATCTGGACTGAACTGAACTAAACTGACTGACTTTCTACGAATTAAGATACTTATATACAGAAATCAAATTGCTGACTAAGAATGAGTTACGATTATGTAATGATGATGTAATGGAAGAAATCAGCATGACATAGATGTGTGAATGTGTGTACAATGGTGAAGGGAATGTCATGTGCCAGGTGATGCCGTGAATGATGTAAGTGGATATCATGGTGATGGACTATTGATGAAAAAGTAGGAATATGGCCTATGTTACAATATGAAATCACTACATTTCAACTAATCAACCAACGTATAACTCCAGGCAACGAAGGGTAAGGGTTTTATCAAAAATGCCCCCCCTTAACCAAGGACCACGGAACATGTTACTTATTAAGGGGGCTAGAGATTTTTTAGGGGCTAAACATGTTAAAAACAAAGAGCAGGGTGATTTTTGCATGGTTTTGAGTACATTTTGAAAAATATTAAGGCTAAAGCCCCCATTGGCCCCAGCTTTCGTGGTCCCTGCCCTTAACTGACTTTTAGAAACATTAGCTTCATAAAATACCTTTTCTTTAAATAGCATTTCATATCAAAATTCATTTTTCTATCAAGGACAGATATCGCAAGAAATCAATACTCTCCTACACTAAGTCCTACACTAAGACATGTATACTTCAATCTGAATATATATATATATATATGAATGTTGACACCTACTGCTGTGAAGAACATTCATTGAGTTGTTGTCTTTCCTTTGAGCATTTTTCCAACCATGTCTCTGGATTTTGATTCACGCAATGTGCATAGGAGTCCATTTGTTCATTGCATTTTATCTCAACGATGTTGATAAGCGCTTCCCTTGGAGAAAAAAGCTTCATGTTACTTCTTTCTAAGTACCAGTTTAGCCTAAGCCTTTTTGCAAAATACAAGAACGAAATTCGGTAGTAATGAAGTTAGAACCTAATATTCAAGTGGTTAGTATGGAAACTTTTCATTTTCAATTCAACTTAAACTACAATTACAAATTTCGCTTTTACCAAAGTAATTTGTAATTGGCTAGCAAGGGTTTACCAAGATAAAGACTATAAGAAGCACAAAAAATTAAGAAAAAAAGGAAAAAGTTTATTTGTCGTTTTTTTGGTTTGGAAGTTGTCAGTAGCAGAAATCATTAGAATTGAAGAAGTTCAAGATTATTCCAAGTCTTATTTCTGCAGCAGAAAATGTAAGAGGTAGTGCGGATAGTTGAGTCGGATAGTTTGGAGATCATGAAGCTGAGATGATTCTCACTGATATCTAGAGCGTGGCCAGGAAATTGATCCTGGGAGGGGGGCTAAGAAAAAAGTTTAGTGACATAGGAGGACCCTCAATGGTTGTTTCCAACCTGAAAGAAATTTTTTGAAATTGCTAAAAAGCATTTCCGAGAAAAAATCTAATAAAATACTAAATGATTATTTGTTTATTTGGAAAAATTGAGAAGGGCAGGAGTCATGCTAAAACTTTGGG